AGCTTTTATTCTTATTCTTAAATCTTTCTCTCCAATGTATTGAATTTCATCCCCATTAAAACATTGTAGGTATTTCTTCATATATATATATATATATATATATATAAATCAATTATCGATTAAATTAATCGGAGTTTAATCATTTTTAAGCTGATATTTCATGTGTCATATGATAAATATTTTAGACATGTCGATTGGTTGCAGAATGGAGAACTTCTGGTAACTCGAGAAACTTTTCTTTCATAGCCAATGTGCGAAAAATATAAAAAAGAAATTAAAATATTTTAACTCCGGATCAACTTATTTTTATTTTTTAATTAATTTCTATTTTCTAATAATTAGAGAAAGATAAAGGAGTTAAAATTAAATTAAAATTAATTAAAATAATTAAAATTATTAGAATTGAAAAAGGAACATCATTTTGAGCGAAGGTGCTCTCATGAAAGTTCGTCGTAATCGTTTCACGGATCTGGGGATATTTCTCTTGTTTGACTGACTTGTATGAACCGAACCTGAATTTGTGTGTCGCTAAGACGCGACTTATCCTCCGCGATTATATTATAGGATGACGCGATAATATTCCGTTATACGCGCGCGAGCCTACGTGATTATTTCGTGATTATGCGCTGTGAGGTGGTACGTGAAACTCGGTAGGAGTTCGCCGGCCGATCGGCGAACAATAAAATAAGGATGTCGACGATGGAGGGTTCGCTCAGCAAGTGGACCAACGTTGTTAACGGATGGCAGTATCGTTGGTTTGTTTTGGACGACAATGCAGGCCTTTTGTCGTACTACACGGTAAGGATACCTGCCAGACACAGATGACACTTTACATTTCCCTTTTACGTTTCCTCTGAAGATGTCTGTGTTGCATATCCAGCACCTTTTGCTGCTCCTCTCTCGCGTAACCTCTAAATTATAATCTCCCTTTAATCTCCCCTTTCTTTCTCTGTTCAGAGCAAGGAGAAGATGATGCGTGGTGCGCGTCGTGGTTGCGTACGATTGAGAGGCGCAATCATTGGCATCGATGACGAAGATGACAGCACATTCACTATCACGACAAACTCGTGCAAGGATGATCCAAAGACGTTTCACTTTCAAACCCGTAATGGCGAGGAAAGAGAACGCTGGGTACGAGCACTGGAAGATACAATACTCCGCCACTCTCATACGGTACGCATGTGAATGCAGATATGTCCATATTACACCTAGTATAAAATTATATAAAAGTTATTTTTTTATTGTTATAGTAGTTCAATGTACTAAAACTAATAGTTTGACTTTCTTCTTTTTCAAGCTTCAAACATATTTATTTCTTTTTAAAAATTTATTAGAACATAGAAAATTTATAAAGTACAGCAAGAAATTGATTGTTGTAGAGATGGGATCCTAAGAAGTCACCTCCTAAACAAGATTTTGATCGCAAAGTAGCTGAGGCTGATGTTTATCTTCAACTTCTGATCGATCAAATTAAATTAATTGAAGGTAAAAGGAATGCGGTTGAAGATGAAGAAAATCAAAAGAAGTATTCTGCTGTTCTGTCGCAAGCTAATGCCATGCTTAACTCTGTTAAACATACTATTGTCCAGCTACAAATTGCAAAGGTGCTTATTGTATCATTTTATTATACATCTACTATTTTGTTATAATAATAATTTTGAATGTCGTTTCCAGAATACAGCGATACCAGTTAATGGAATATACAGAGGACCAACAAATTCTATACATGTTTCACCTTCACTTCCTCATGGTAAGAATATTATGATGATACGATGTTCTTCATTTACAATTGTGAAGAGTTATGTTACAAAAATTTAGTTTTAGTTGCAGCCCGAGCACCAGAGGCAACAGTGCAAACCGGCATCGAATTAGGCTCTGAGTGTGTCGAACCTAGAGTACCTACATTATCAAATGGTTAATGTCGCTTACAATGTTTATTCTGCTGTTATTCTTTTGATATTAATTAATCAAATTTGTTCGGATCTCAGTGTGTATTATTGAAGTGTCTCATTTTGTTTTTAGTTGTAGACAGAGATTTACCAGTACCACAGTTTTCATATTCGTCATCTGATGAGGATGACGATTACTTCGATGCCGCGGACGAGATACCAACTCCAGCAGTCCAAAATCGCATTACGCTGCAAGTATAAGTTAATATTTCTACATGAAAAAATAGAGTTGATACATTTTTCATTCACGTACTTGTCTTTACCGTTGTGTAATAATTACGGTAAATTTTCGTATTATCAAAGAGTTTGCATATCCATATGTTTTCTGGATAAGATTCAATAATATATAAATGCTTCTGTTTTTTTAGATGTTCAAATAACGAGCGATTATATTCGTCTATAGAAAGTGCCACAGGAGATAAACGCAGAGAACCGCCTCTACCGCCTATCAAAGGCGATGGATCAGTAGATTACGATGGTGAGTCAGTATTTTTATTTTGATATGCACTTTATTATCTACTAATTTTTCCATTTAATATTATTTTAATAAAAATTATTAATAGTTATAGTTCATTATATTTATCAAAGTAATATCGAAAAAGATTCAGAAATAAATATTTTTCAATAAAAATTGAATATACTTATAGATTTAATTATACTAGACAGGTGGGTATTTTGTATTTTCTATCAATCTGAACACGATATTTCCATTTCCGAAATTCCATTTTTTTCTGCAGTATTCTATATATTTTTGCTAGTAACTTTTTCAAGGATTCTCTTTTTTCTGGAAATATAATGAATTTATTGAAAACTTATTAATAATATTAAACATTTTGAAAATATAAAATATTCACGTGTCTAATTAGAGATTTAAAATCCCATGTTCACACGCATTTTGCATGGATATAAATATATTACCGAATAATAAATTATATAAGATATAAGAATATATAATTTCTTTTTCTCATGTCATTGGCAGAAAATGGAAGGTAAGTATTTATGGAGGACAAAGTTACTTTCTTCTGTTTTTGAAAATATGCTTGTGATTTTGAAAATATTACCACAAATTTTTGTGGAGTACATTTATGTATGTTACATAAAAATTCAAGTGGCAAGATAAGATAAAAACATTTGTGACTATAGAATTCACAAGATATATCTTGTACATTTGTTTGCAAAATAAGTAACGAGTGGGACAGTGACTTTGATCAAAATCCAATTAACTTAATCGGTGTTTAACTTGCTTAAGTAATGCCTATACTATTATAAAGGTAGAATTATTAATATTTTGTTGTTTAACGTATAAAGAAAAAGAAATTAGATTAAGAATAATGAATCATATAGTAAGAAATGTTTATTACTTTAATGTTCATTTCTACTAATGTTTACTTAATTACCAATGATTACTTAATTAAGTAAATTAAATTAATTTTAATTTACTTTTATTTTTTTTAGTTCTAAAAATTACAAGAAAAGTAAGGAGGGAATTAAACTATTAAAATTCGTAGAAATGGACAATTAAATTATCTATTTAATTAATCGGACTTTAGTCCAAGTTGCTCGGAGACATCGCAACCTTTGCGACACGCATTCCATCGTTGATAATGCAGACTGTTTAGTATACTTGTCTGTTTTATCTGCCGTGGCCGTTATTGATCCCTTTGCAATTGCGAACGCTATTACTTGACGTATAAGTTGACGTTTCGCGAGCAGACATACTCGTGGATGTTCCCATGTTTCTTTTCAAATAAAGTGATATATAAATAAAAAAGGAGACATAATGTTTTATTAATATGATGACGAGGAAAGAAGTAAAATTCCGACAGAACTTTATGTTCTGTTGTTTACCTTTAAATCGAAGTGTCCGGCAAAATACTTTGCGTTAATGAAAAACAATTCGGTTCTGGGAATAAGGAGCTTAGGAATGGATTCTAGTTGGTCTATCTTAGCCAAACAATATGTTGGACATAACTTCAAGTCGTAAGTTTTGCATTGCGCGAGTAGCATATACACGATAGAAAATTTAGGTTAAGTCCCTTCTCGTCCCTTTTCGTTCTTTTTCGTCTGTTTTCATCCCTTTTCGTCCCTTCTTGTTCCTTCTTGTCTCTTCTGGTCTTTTCAGATTAATTCCTGCATTTCTATATATCACTTATTTATTACTTTATTGTATGTTATTTCTGATTGCAAAGATCTATGAATTAAAATTTGTGTTATCCAAAATACATTTTTTACATTGTAAATATGTATTATACTTTAAACAATGAATTTATGTCTGTTGCAGCTCTTTACGAAGAAGAAAGCGAAACAGAAAGTATGTAACATATAATAATATAATTAAATATAAAATGTTGTAGAAAATAATTTTTATACATATTGATATCTCTTTCTTCACTTTTGGTATCTATAGTGGATTCCATGGAGAGTCATGGCTCAGTCGTGACTCATCTTTTGTCCCAAGTGAAAATTGGCATGGACTTGACCAAGGTTGCCCTACCAACATTTATTCTAGAACGCAGATCACTTCTTGAAATGTATGCAGATTACTTTGCCCATCCTGATCAATTTGTAAGGTACCTTTAATTGTTTGATTTAATTTGACATATGTGTAATATCACACAATTGTGTTTCTTATCTTTTTATTAATAGACCTTTGAAAATAATTTTTTTTTTCTAAATTAGCATTGCAGACATGCCTACGCCTCGAGAAAGGATGGTGCAAGTAATTCGTTGGTACTTGTGTAGCTTTCATGCAGGGCGTAAATCTGGTGTAGCTAAAAAGCCATACAATCCTGTATTAGGTGAAATTTTTCGATGTCACTGGAACATACCTAATTCTTCTGATAATACTGTAGATTCTAATAACAAACTTGTATCGGATGGTCCTGTACCATGGTGCAAGGAGAATCAGCTTGCTTTTATCGCTGAACAAGTCTCCCATCATCCACCAGGTATAAAAATATCTGATGTTTTATTTAATTAACTATATAACTTTAAAAAATAACTCATCTATATATTATATTATTTGATTACAGTTAGTGCATTTTATGCTGAGCATGTCGGGAAAAAGATTAGTTTTGGTGCTCATGTTTGGACAAAGAGCAAGTTTTTGGGTTTAAGTATAGGGGTACACAATGTGGGAAAGGGTTGGGTAAATGTGTTACAACACGGGGAAGAATACGTTTTAACCTTCCCTAACGGTTATGGCAGATCTATTCTTACTATACCGTGGATAGAACTGGGAGGAACTGTAACAATAAATTGCGCACAAACTGGCTATCATGCGACGGTAGAGTTTTTAACAAAACCTTTTTACGGCGGCAAGCGAAATCGAATTACGTGTCAAGCTTTTCAAGCCGGAGATAAAAAACCATTCCTTGTTATAAATGGAGAATGGAGCGGTGCGATGGAAGCGAAAACATTGGATGGTGTAAGTTGAAAACATTATAATGATCTTAGCGTAATGCTAATTAAATTAAGTGCTGCAGTAACAATTAGGATACTTACGTTGTATATGATAAATACTATGAATAAAGAATATTATGTAATTATTCAGAGATTCAAATGCAATTTCAAATGCAATTAAAAAAATATTTTATATTTTTTTTTTTACAGAAAAGTGAAATTTTCGCTGACGTGAGAGAACTTGCCACGGAAAGGAAACTTGTTAAAACAGTATGTGAGCAGGAAGAATGCGAGTCGCGAAGAATCTGGCGTGACGTGACTGTTGGCCTACGCATCAACGACATGGATAAAGCTACAGCGGCGAAATGTACAATCGAGCAGAAACAACGAGACGAAGCGCGACTTCGAAAGGAAACTAATATAGCGTGGCAAACAAAAGTAAGTGGACAATTTTTATTTAATTCTTTTTATTTGCTCGATTGTTGCATAATTAATATCAATATATTTGTTCTCTTTTCTTAAACAGCTTTTTAAGGAAACCAAAGATGGTGGTTGGATGTACATAAGACCTCTAATAGACAGAATACACAGTTCTAGCGATCAAACGAATGTTACCTAATTATATAGATATGCGTATTACAACTTTAGATGCAGCACAATACTAGAAGAGAAACCATGGCCTAAAGCCTATAAGAGTTGCAATATCAGCCTTAATCCAGGAGATATACACTTTCACATTCGAGCAATCTCGACGAATATTTTTACGCGTAATAACCACTATTAGTTTAAATAGAAAAGAAGTAACGCAATCTGTTTTACATTTTACATTTTTAATTTCATTTAATAAACGTATTTTGTGAACAATATGAATTTTACTGATACAATTGTATTTCATCTTCTTTTATCCTTGGAATAATTTCACAGAGATAGAAAGTCTATTATATTCATATTTCAATTATATGTACGTACGTAAAGTCACTTTTATATATGTAACGTTTATTGACACTGTAATTTCTTATGTGAGAAAAGAAATTATATGTACAATTTATGCAAATCTGTATACATTGTATTGTATAGATCGCATGCCATATTGTATACAAAAGTTGTTTTATGGTGTCGCTAACGAACGTAATAATACAATATTCTAATTATAGAATTAATTATTTTTGCGCAATCTCTCGAATTTCTTATTGGCAAACATAGATTTCCAATATGTAAGGAATGGCTCACGATAATTATGAGTTTTTAAAATAAACTTATGCATTTCCCATGCACAAAATGATACATCAATAACAGCATAAATCAGTATTTTATTTTCATAATACAAAACTTTTCCGAAGCAAATCCCATCTTGCTGAAATAAGTTAATATATTACAGAGGAGAGATTTTTGATGAAATATCATTTTAACAAACTCTTCTTATATTTCTTAGAAAAATAAAGTTATGTAGTTCTTTCATAGATCTTTTTGATGTTTTCAAAAATTTGTTTGATGTTTGTTTTTAATGGGTTATTTTGTATATTATATTTATTTGCAAGGTGTGTATGTAGAGAGACATTTTTATTGTATATAAAAATAGATGTACAAAATATATGCAATGTATAAAAATTAACATTATTTAACAAAAAATATTTAGTTTGCGATTTCTCCTAAAACAATATAACCAAGATAATAATCTGTAGCAGCTGTTCTGTAGATATGAGGCAGTCGTTTTGTTGACGATAACAAATAATTTAATCCAGCTTCTATTATCGGTAAACCCACTTCGTGATACTTAACATTCAAATAATTAGCATTTATAATAAATTTATTAGTTTCGTACTTGTATAAAACTTTGGCAACGCATTTCTGTTGTAAGGATATAGCGTCAGTATTACCGTCAACTTTGTAATCGGATTCTGTAATTAAATTTAATTTGTAATCCATCGGCTTTATTAGAAGACGATGCGTCTGTTTGCCAACGGAGGTTTGCAGAATTATTTCCTCTCCTAAAATTTCGCTCAGCGATTCTCTTGCAAGTGTGAGAAAATCGCTGAGCGAATCAGTTGCATTCACAGTATTCAATTCATGATTCTGTGGTTTATAATCTACGCAACAATTCCATATTTTGAATAAATTAGATACATGAAATGATCCTATGTGCAACAAGCATTTATTACAGGTCAACGTTTTATTATCTATACATACATTGTTTTCAAAAATATTTTTATGTAATACAGAAAAATAAGAGCCATACAGATAATCAGTCTCCTGTGGCTGTATGTTCGACATGACATTGCAATTCTTCTTACAACAGAACCATTCGTCAGGATCGTATTCTGCATCGGGCAAAGGTAGAAACCTCTTGAAGTTGATCGATTTCGAAATAATATTTTTGCAACAAGCGCACAGCATGGTGCATTCTGACGTTTCAAATAACAATTTGATGTCATTTAAGATAGGCTGCGAGTGAGTCGAACTCGGTTGAATCGATGATTTATTCAAATCGGTTACCACTTCTGTGTTGAAAGAGCCAAATACGGATTCCATCGGCGCGGTTTGCAAACGGAAGCAAATCCAATTGTTTATTATGCTTAATGTAGACAAAGAAATTGGTAAAATTTTTATAGATGGCAATGAGAAATTGATGTTACGGTCTTCCAGAATTAATACTATGCTATTTTCCAGAAGCTTAATCTGAACATTCTTTAAGCAGAGATCCTTCTGCATGGAAATAAATACATTGCAGGATTGCAAGCGTGGTCTTAGCTCTAATGTTATAAGCTCCATGGCTTCATATTGGTCAGCATTAGAAGCATGTCATCATGTAGCAACAGCGCCTTGATAACATTCCGATTCTAAGTCTGAGAACACAATATAAAAATATGATTATTATTAATCAGAGGAAGGTAGAACAAGCTTCAAGATTACATAGAAGGAAAAGAAGAGGAAGATTATTATTATTATTATTATTATTATTATTATTATTATTATTATTATTATTATTATTAGTCTTATTTATAATTATTGTATACGTGCTTAATAACTAAACACACTAAAGATAAATAATATATAAAATATATAATTATGTGTTATTTATCTTTATAATTAAATTACATAATGTAAGTTGAGTAATAGCTTTCTCTTTATGAAAAATATTTATCAACAATATACCTTGCGTTCCACACATCTTGACACGTGCTTGTCAATCAACGTAGGAGGTTAGGCGCAAGTTCTAACGCTCCAATAAAAATTTATATATTCTCTTTTCTTTTTTACGAGACCATAAGAGGAAGAAAAATCCGAGAGTGCGGCAAATAATCCCATCGATTTCCGTGCTACATTAACAAATCGTGGATCAGATTTCTGGATCGCTTTCTCAGGTAGCGCTGCGGAATGCCAGAAGTGGTCAGAAGTCACTAAATCGTTCGCGTGGTCGCTCTCAGATTTCTCTCCGGTCGATGCACACCTACGCCCGTTGGAATATCCGAGGAAATCCGATCGTGAGACGGGAGAAAAACTGTGAGGTCGTGCTCAGATTCAGATCTGATGGTGGTGATTTATCAGAGGCATTGACTAGCTCGTCATGGAATTCGTCTGACGTGATCGAGCAAACGCGAGGACGGGCATGAGATCGATTGTTTGTACGTATCGTCATGCAGAGGTTATAAACATCTAGCCGCTGGTATCCAAACACTATGAAGACCTTCCTCGGTGAGGCGAGGGTGAATGCCGCGTGTGTATACAAATGCCAAGGTGCACAGCTGTCTCGCATGGACGACTTGACTACCCTCACGCCGTTTATATCGCGAGCTGGACTAGTGTACTGTTTGGCGGATTGTTATCCAGAGACGGAAAACATATGGAGGTTTTAACAATCACGCCCGCATAGCCAAGAGCGTTAATATGAATAAGCACGCCCTTAGCGTGACATCAAACGTATCTATTCTCGGCTGGTCCGACCTTTGATTCGATTTGCCAAGCGAAGGGCTTTATACAACTCCTGAAGAACGGGACGTATACGCAGATTCAATTAACTTCGTTAAACAGGGTACAGAATTTTGAAGTTAGCCATAGTTGTAGAAGATGATTTAGAGCATGAATCTATTCAAGAGAGATTTATAATTGATGCATTGAGTAACATGCGAGTATATTATATATAATGGTAAGTTTTAATTTTGCAATTTGATTCAAGATTCATGTTTATAATATTAAGGTAATTTTCAGATCATTTATGATCTTCAAATGTTATGGATTTATCCATTACAACATGACGTAATTGTTAGTCAAGTGCTAGTGCAAGTGTCGTGTAGAAAATCATATTAATACCATGATGAACAATGGATGTAATAATATACGAGATTAGATTAATTAGATAAACAAAAAAGGAAACAATGTCAGTTCCTTCCTGCTCAACAAGTAAAGAACTGGAGAATGGAACTACTAAGGAGGATGTAGCTTATACAAAATGGGAATGTTTTAGTAACTGGGTGCATTGTATATGCATCGTTACTTTTGATCTTGAATTGGGTCAAGCTATAGAGGTATGACACAACTGGCGAATTATTATCTTCTTTTGCTTGATTATTTAAGTAAAGTAAGATTTAACAAAACATTTTTGTTAAATTTTATTTTATAATAATATCAGATATTCATTCTTTTTAAATGTATAGGCAATTTATCCAAACCATGTCAAATTATCAGAGCAAGAGAGATCCAATGTCTGTTACTTAGCCTTTCCCGATTCCAATTCTGGATGTATGGGAGATACTCAATATCATGTAAGAATAAGACAAAGCAGTAAAATGGTGCAAGAAACTAATGCTCTTAAAGAGTACGATAGGAAATCACCTTCCTTTCTGCAAACTGATAGAGATTATTACTGGGGATACGTATATTTTCGACAAGTAAAAGATAAATCTTTACCAAGAGGATATTTTCAAAAGGTACGTGTTAACATTTCCATAAATTAAAAGTACAGTTTGTTTAATTCACAATTAGTTGCATGTCGTGTTTTCAGAGTGTTGTTATAATTACAAAACTGCCATTTGTCAATCTATTCGGTGAATTATGTGCTTTAATCGCGCCGGAATTTTTCGAGACTGGAACAGCACTCATGGAAGCTGTGGTGCGTGAGATTGATAACTGGCCTCCTCCGGTACCAGGCCAGATAGTTCATTTACCTCTTATTGGTGTATTATTTCAGGTAAATTTAAAAATTACATGTATTACTACATTATGATTGTATACATGTGTCCCATGTAGGCTGTAATTATTTCAGACATATATCCCAAATCAAAATTATAAGGCTACTATTCCATCAATTGCTGCCATGGAGCATGCACCGAATGTGCGCACAATGCGAAAACTGATGTTAACGTCAGCCCATGAGAGTGACATGTTTCGAAGTTTAGCCAGTATTGTTAGTTATGTACATTTATTGTGGGAACTGGTGCTTCTTAGTGAGCCGATCGTTGTGATGGCAAGCTCGCCAACTACATGTTCCGAGATGGTTCAAGCGCTTATAGCGTAAGTATTATAGCGTAAGTGGGATCTTTTATGTTTCTGCAGCCATGTGTAACTAGTTATATAAAACATATAACTAGAAAATATTTTACAGCATGATTGCTCCGCTGAAATACTGCGCAGACCATCGCCCGTATTTCACTATTCACGATTCGGAATTCAAGGAATACACCACAGATTCTCCAGCGCCGCCCGCCGTGATCTTGGGTGTGACAAATCCATTTTTCGCTAAGACTCTGCAACACTGGCCGCATATCATCCGTATAAGCAACGGCAGTACTAACGGTAAGTTCTATGACGCTCAACGGCTAGTGGTATGTGTTCAAGATTTGATGTTTCAGATGATCAGAAGTATAAAATCAAGAGATCTGAAAATCTGAAGATGCTGGATTCCAAGCCAGGCGTTTATACTCAGTACAAGACTTTTCTGCAAAAAGACAAAACTATCTTGAAGAAATTATTCAGGGGCATTCAGACAAAACGGCCGGGCGAAGTGCAGACTGCGCTTTTAAAACGTCACCTAATAGAACTAACAGAAAGCTTTATGATTCCACTTGAAAGATACATTGCAACCCTCATGCCATTGCAAAAAAACATATCACCGTTTAAAGTATATAAATCATTACAATTATTAACAATTTTAATACTTGTAGAATTAGTTTGTGTAATAATTTTTTTTTTTTCAGGCAACTCCTACACCACAAATGTTTAATCCAGATGACTTCCTAGCTAGTTTAAGTAGCTCCGGTCCTCAATTAACTACAGGTATAAAAGGGGATTGGGTAGGACTGTACAAACGATTTTTTCGATCGCCTAACTTTTCTGGATGGTTTCACACGAGATATATGGAGTTGAGTCAGCAATTGCAAGTTAAACAATTAGAGAAATTATCGCAAGCGGTATGTATTAGAATATTGATTTCATTTTGCTCTTCTATTTGTAAGATTTTTATCGATGTAATCATCATTGAGCAGGATTTGAAAACGTGGGTGCAAGGAAAGCAAGAGGTAGAAGTGGTCGATATGATTCTCAGAATTCGCCAAAAATTAGAAAAAAGTTGTATCGATGACGTACCAATCGATAATTCGGTAAGAGAAAGATTGCGAGAGAGAATAAATGACATTACGCATGTATTGCCGGATGATTTAAAGGTGATACTAAGACATGAATCTTGACAGTACGAGTACATTATTAATATCAAAACTCGTTGACATTATATTTATTTCTATCTAAACTGATATCGTATTTAAGTCAACTCAAAAAGACGTAATATGTAAGATGATTTAAATGCTCCATCTCTTTCTTATTTACAATATAACATAAATGAGTGGAGAAGGAAACTGTTATGCAATTATAGTTCGATAAATTACATTACGTTTAAAGAGGATGATATTTATATACGTATTTGATCTGCAACTCGAAATACTCGCCACAGATGAGTTAGTGAAAAAAAATCCACTGTTATACAACAAAAGTCAACTATAGAAACATCATTCTATGTGTTTAGGCAAATTATGTAATCCTTTGAATACGAAAAAATACGACGTTGGATGTTCTGTGTGGTCGAAATTCAGCGATAATAAATACGAAATTATTCTTGTGTCGAGCTCAAGTATCAAGAAATTACGATATACTAGATGTAGGACTTTTACTAAAATATTTGCCTCAAATGTATATTATTTATTTATACATATAAATTATATCATGGATAAATTAGAAAATGCGCTGTGCGCATATATATTTGCTCATGGTACTCAAAGGACTAAGTGTCTCAACGCTTTTATACTTGAAACATTTCGTAAATTTATGTGATCTTATACTTACCTATAGCGCTATTTAATTTCCTTTGTAATGCCAACTTTATCAGTAGCTTCCATTTTCTGCTCGACCAAGTCATTCCGATTATGATTTTACATACCAATACTTCGTTTTTTTGTTATCAAGTATCGATGAATACTCTATGGGGCGGTGAGCGATGATAATAATGGTAATCTCATAAAAGCATGAATTTCAATTCGAGCGAAATGCGTGAGATTGAAATGTTAAGTAATGTACATTTTGGAGATCTGTAAATAATGGTACAAATGATGCGTACACATAATAAAAATTTATTTTGATATATATGATATTAAATTATTATATATACCTATATTTTTTATGTATAAAATACTTAACATGAATATTACAAAATGAAGTTCTTGATATTTTTTGTAAGATTACATTTATGATATTTTATTATGTAATTCTGGTTGAAAAAGAGAAGAATGTGCGAAAGAAAGAGTAGAAGAAACATCAACTTAATAAGAGGTAATATTTTATTTTATTTTATTTCTTACGACTTTTTTATTGTTACATTCTCCCAATTACATTAATAATTTTTTCAATAGTTTTATCTTAATGCGTCATTATATTCTCATTATAATATCATAATATATTATCATACTTTCAATAGAGTCTCAACAACATATATATCCATATGTATACATGTATACATATGGATAGATACATATATGTATATATATATATAGGTATCGGTGTATGTTCATTTTCTTTTTTTTTATGTGTGTGAATGTACTGTAGGATAGCTTTATTACACAATTAATTCACAGAGTTCACTTTATTATTCTGCCGAAGTACACCTCGATTTCTGGCCATCGCGTTTATCTCCTGTCGCTTTCGTGGAAAGTAGGACGTTTCTGCGCGCGGAAAATTTAACGTCATATAAATCTCACGTTTTGCTTTTACTTTACTTCGGTGTGTGTGTGTGAGAGAGAGAGAGAGAGAGAGAAAAAGAGAGGCGCGGGGGAATTTCTCTCGCGATTTGTATTTGTACAGAGTTGAAGGATTCGGGAAGGAACGACGAAAACTCTCGGGCTCGAGCCCGTGCGTCGTAATAAAGAGCGGATAAATGCGATTATCGCCTTTGCATTACTTCGACAGACTTAGGCCTGGGTGAATTGCGCCTCCTCAAGTAATCTTACGAGATTTCGCCTATTGACTAAAACACGAATGGAAACTTTACAACGAGCTTGTCTGGAAAAATGAACGTGAATGAAGCAGCGTTTTTTTTTTTTTTTTCTTGGAGGGCTTCGCACGCCGAACGCGAGCGGACTTTTTCGCGAATCGTGTGCGAAGAGGAGTATTAATATAGTAATATGCCATTATAGTCGCGCCGCGCGGTTTTTGGGGGAAACGCTCTCGTCACATTCACAGCGGTGCTCCTTTCACCCCGGGGTGGCTACACGAAAAGAAGGATAGAAAAAGTCGTGGCGTACAAATTGACCGAAGCTCCGGACCAAATAGCAACGCACGCAAAACATCTTTGGAGAACGCAAGGACTTGCTTCTTACTTCTTACTCGATGGTATATTACTCCTCGAGCAGAATTTATAATGGGAGATGAGAACCATATCCTCTTTCGAGGGATTTACGAGACGAGAATCGTAGAGATTTACCTCTGTGTCAAACTGTATTCTTATCTATTACCTCTGATACTTTCCGCAATTGTAAAATGCGAATACTTTTATACATTTGGTGAACGTAACGACCCAACTCACATTTAATATCATACTTTTCATATCAAAGATCGTCAGTTAGACGATCTGCATTTAGTATTAAGTGCACGATAAAAATGATATCTTATATATTTAACAAAATACACAATGTTCGTTTCTTTTAACGTAGATTAACTTTACCTCGGTTTCATTTATCTTTTATCCTTTTTAGAATTTTTAAAACTAAAAAGAGATAAAAAGCAAGTTAAACAGAGATTAAAATTAATCGACACTTATAGAAATAGACATTTAGATTTATTACAAGCAATTATATATAAGTAATAAGAGAAGAGTAATCATGAGAATGATAATTAAATTTATCCATAGATTCTCTTCTCCCCACTATAAATCTGGTTATGTTTGTTCATCTCTTCACGTTGTGTTTTATCACATTCATGCCATTTTATAGTATTGCGATATCGACTTCAACGTATCTGACAGTCGCAAATTCGATGC